AACTAGTCCCTCTTTGCAGATGACTCCCAAATCTATATAGCCAGTCCTAGTGTTACTCTTAAGCTTCACTTTTGAATCACTAGCTGCTTATCAGACATTTCAAGGTAGATGTCCCAGAGACATCTTAAAATCAACATGTCTAAAAGTGAACTCATTATCATTCTTCCTGAACCCTCCTCTCTTCCACATTTGCCTATTTCTTTTAAACACCACCATCCTTGTTTATAAATCTTGGAAATATCCTTGGCACCTCTTTATACTTTTCTCCACACATCTAATCAATTGACAAATCTTGCTATTTCTACATTCACAAAGTATCTTGCATCTCACCCATTCTCTACTCTCATTTAGCTACCATTTAAGTTCAGGCTCATTACTTCTTGCCTAGATTATTTCAACATCCTTCTATTTTGTCTTCTGCCTCAAGTCTTTACTTCTTCTAATACATCCTACACACTGTTGCTAAAATAATTTTCTTTAAGGGCAGATTTAACCACATGACTCTTACTCAAATAAATTACATTAGTTCCCTGTTCCCTCTAGTATTCCACATAAACTACTATGTTTAACTTTTAAGGTTCTATAGAACTTGGCCCCAACCTTTCTTTGCAGCCTCATTGAACATTATTCTCCATACCACATGCTATAATCCAGGCAAACTGACATTCTCTCTTTTCCTGACACAGGACACTCCATCCCCTGTCTCCATAACTTTGCACTGGGTATTCTCTGGGCCTGGAATGCTCTCCCTCCTTACTGCATCTCAGAAATTTCTCTCTTGCTTAAAAATGCATATCATTTTTGTCAATGTTAACTAACTTAACAAAATTTTTAACTTAAAAATTCTATTAAATCAGCTACCTGATCTTACCTAGTACGTTGTGCTGTGGCCTACTTGTTTAAACTGTTGTTTCATTAAGGAAAATAGTTTTCAAGACCATGTTACCATAAAACCAAGTACCGTCCCTGGAATATATTTCCCTTTTAACTTTCTCTCACCTATATGCTTTACTGCAAAATGAGAGAAATATATTAGACAAATTCTAAGGTCTCTTACAATTAGAGATTTATATTCTTTTTACTCCCCTTTGGGTCAATTACAATTTTGATTGTCCAGTTTCATATTTACACCCATCTAGCATCAACAGGAGAATAATAGTAAGAAGATGGGTTTTTATGATAGGGAAAAAGATGGAATCACTCAAAGTGCTGCACAATTTCTCAAAAATCAATTCAGCCCACTCACCTCCTTTTATTCAATGTGGGGCCCAGAGAATTATCTATCTGTAGTCTGTGTTGCCAAATCAACTGTATGTCATAATCTGAGCAATTTGCATTCTTTACCACTCCTCCCACCTCCCCCCTTATTTGGATCACTAGGCTATTATTTTTTCACTGACTATTGGTCTCACTGAGGAATATTATAGTATTCTCAGGCTTGATGCAATGAGTACAATGTTATCTGAAAGTAGGTACCTATGGAGAATCTCATCATCTATCAAGGAACACTTATCTATTTCAACATGACAGTGGCAAAACATATTTGATAACCATATATCCCTGATTTATGCCTTGGTTAATAATGTTCATCAGAAGATCACTGAACAAATTTATATCTGTAGTTGCAGGCACTAATAATAATGCTTTAACAACAAGCTTTTCTGATCCTGAATGACATGAATAGCATCTTGTTAACAATATGAAAAGCTCCTTAAAAATCCTGTCACCAACATTTATCATTCTTTTTGCTTGTTTTTCAGAATTTCAAAGGAGTATATTCTTTTAAAATTATTCTTTATTCTAGGATCATAAATGTTCCAGCCTTTTGCCAAAATCTGGGCAGTGAATTTCTTTTTAACAGAAATAGCTTTATTTAAACTTTTCTTTGTTTTGGAACAATAGCACAGAGAGCCAACTACTTGGAGAATTTTACAATATCCCATAGTGTAATGGCCTATTTGCAACATACAACTTTGCAAGTTCCAGATGCAAAACTAATTATTTACAAGGTTGCAATTATTTACAAAGGATGCCAGATGGCAGCACCAAATAGCTTTGCATAATGTTGGGTATTTTTTTTAACCCAACCAGAAAAGGCATAATGTTTTCTAAAACTAACATGATGGAATTCAGAGAACTGCTTTGCATAAATTTTGTTGTTTGTTTTGATTCATTTGCTTAAATTAATCATTGCCACTTACACAATATTAGCTTAACAAAATGCATTCTGAGCTGAGGTGGAATCCATCAATTGTGTTATACTATTATGCCTACCTCAATTGGTCGCGTTAAGGTTTGCCACATGAAGACTGCAATTTTATGGGGATTATTTACATATTTTCATTGAAAATGTTTAAGTTTCTTTGTTCACCCCAAAGCCTGAACTAAACTGTTTGTGATTTGCCACTTTACAATTTATAATTTGCCACATTTGCAATTACTTATTGTATGTGCAAACCATAAGTATAACTGGAAATCAGCTCTCTGAGAAAATTAAGAAAGAGGAAGATGGGTAAGGAGGTTTAGGGGTGAGAGAACCCAGGGAACATTGTTGTTGTTGTTGTTGTTGTTGTTCACTTGTTTCAGTTGTGTCCAATTCTTTGTGACCCTATTTAGGGTTATATTGGCAAAGATACCAAAACTGGTTTGTCATTTCCTTCTCTAGCTTCTTTTATGGATAAGGAAATTGAGGCAAACAGGGTTAAGTGACTTGCCCGGGTCACATAGCTAGTAAGTGTCTGAGGTCAGATTTGAACTCAGGAATAGGAATCTTCTTGACTCCAGGCCCAGGCACGCCATCCACTGCACCATCTAGCTGCCCCTCCATGGGATATTACATAGGGAATACTAATAATATATTCATATACTTGAATGGATCTCTGACCACATAAATACAGACAACTCTTATAATGATATGACTTTAAACTCATCTATGCCTGCCTGTCCTGTGCAACTCTTCCCAAGTCCTTCTAACCACAAACTATGATGTGAGACTTCCACAAGTTCTCTTGACATTATGAAAATATCAATGAAACATGTTGGCTTTAGTCATTCCTTCCTCTTCTGACATACTATGCCCATGCAATCAATGAAATAAAAAAAAAAGTAACAGAACTGCTAATAATACTAATCATTTATTTAATGATTTACAATTTACAGATTGATTTTATATACATCAACTCATGTGATCCTTGTGACATTCCTGTGAATTAAGCAAGACCTTGTAGAACAGAACAGCTTTTGTCCCTAGTCAATGTTTAGATTTGATCTTACAATTTCAGACTTATTTTGTTTGCTTCCAAATATTGATTTTACACACATATGTATATATATTATATATACATATATAATATATATACATATATATATATACATGTATAATACACACACACACACACATAGTGCTATACATATAGGAATATTGTTAATTCAATTTGTTAATGAATGTCATCTGAACACAATTTCTGGTAGGTTCTACCAAAAGGCTGTCTAGACAGCCTTTGAATATGGACTCAGTAATTCATTGTGTCTATTGTCCAATAACTATCCTCTGTAAGTTCAGAAAGGCTCATCAGGAGAAGTTTTGTAGCCAGGATACAGATGAATTTATTTGGTGAAAGTAGTTTATAAAATTGTGTACTAGTGGATTAAAAGGATGCAATCTGCATGATAAAGCTCCCAAACTGATGTGTAATCCATGGCCAAGAATCATAACTCTGGGTTTATATAAACCAGGGTGATTCAGTTTTTAAAGACTTCTCACACATATTTATTTGTTTGTTTTAGGAAATATAAAAATTTGGTTGGTGTCTAGGTGTTCAAAAATGAAAAGGGGTCTCAGCTGTGTTTAGAGATTATTTGATCCATCACCAGGTGATTTAGTTGATAGAGTGCAGGGTCTCAAGTTAGGAAGACCTGAATTCAAATCTACCGTCAGGTACTGTGTATGTGACCCTGGGCAAGTCACTTAACTTTGTCTCAGTTTCCTCATCTGTATTGAGGGGGAGAAGGAAACAGCAAACCACTCACTATCTTTGTCTAACAAACAAAATGGAGTCACAAAGAGTCAGATGCAACAGAAATCACTCAACAACAAGAAAATCTGTCACCTTGTGCTGAGATTGAGAGGCAGATCTGGTGTACCTTCGATTTGCATCCTAAATATCCTGCATATACTGTCTGAGAAAGCAATTTCACTACTTTAAATTTTCCCTGAAAAAAAATGAAAGTTTAGACTAGGTGATTTCAAAGGTATGTTTGAGCTCTAGATCTTCATGACTATTACTCTAGTTCACTTAACTGTTGGTGTGTTAATTTCTTTCAAATACACTATGTATATGAATGTGTACATTCATGGTGTTTTATTCATTTTAGTATACATATCTATTTATAATAATGTCACAATATACTTTATAATATATGCTCATTTTAGCCTGTAAAAATCAATTTCCATTTATCAGCATCCATTACATAATTATGAATACCTAAGGATGTACCTTTAAAAGATTAAAATAGAATCTGATAGCTACATAAGAACAACATGTAACAACAGAGAAATTGCAAAGATCAAAGTGAGCAACATACTTTCTCAGTGTTGTCTTTTATACTATTCTAGTTCTCTCTCCTTTCCTCTCTCCCTTTCTCTCTTTTTACTTCCTTCTTTCCTTTCTAAATATTTATTGAATACTTAGTATGTGAAGAATAAAATAATTATAGCTGCTCTAAATTCTATTCAGGCTTTGTCTCCATTGACAAAAGAAATAGTTGGGGCATTAATATGAATAATTAGGATGGCTATTAACTAGAGAATATAAGTGGCTTGGGCCTAAAATTACTTATTTTGGCCTTTTGCCTAGATAAAACTCTCAAGATTGCTCAACTCCTTCCTATACTTTGCCCTTTTGGACACAGTCTATATCAACATGATACCAAATGAACATTGGAAGATGACAATATCCAAGTCAAATTTCACTCGCCTGACATGAAAACCAATTCCACATTTTATTTTCATCTGATCAAAATAGTGCTAGTCTACCAAATTGAGTGATTAGCCAGCTCTGTCAATAATAGCCACTCAAAGGGAGCAGAACCCATTTGGACACTCATTTGTTCCAGCTACTGACTTTTAGGGGATGTGATAAAAATCATTTCCCCCTGGAAGCTGGTTTATCTCTCTTTGCTTTTGTGGAGTTTGATTTTCCCTGGAGGGAAAAATGCTTTCCCCCTCTGGATTTGTTTGTTCTGAAGTCAAGACTTCAAAAAGAGGTAGGACTACTGATTACTTATTGATTTGCCTAGCTTGGGCATGGAAGTAGATCATATTTCACCATCCTTTAGGGAAGAAATTTAGAATTTATGTACAAATAGGGCATGGTGCCATGTATGGCTAAATCCTCAGAGAAGGGATCTAAAAGAATAGGAATAGTTCCATCTGTCTGCCCTAAATCAGTTTGTAAATTCACACAATTCACACAATTGTAAATTCACACTTTTGCTTTTATTTTTATTGTTGTTGTTATTGTTCAGTCATTTCAGTTGTGTCCAATTCTTGGTGACCCCATTTGGGGTTTTCTTGGCAAGGATACTGACACAGTTTGCCATTTCCTTCTCTAGCTCATTTTCCAGATGAGGAAACTGATGCACACAGGTTTAAGTGATTTGCCTAGGGTTACACAGCTAGTAAGTGTTTAAGGCTGGATTTGAACTTACAAAGATGAGTCTTCCTGACTCCAGGCCTGGTATTCTATCCATTTGTGCCACATAGCTTGGAACTTGGACAATTTCAATTCAAAACTCTGTCTACCAGCTAACTCTATCTATTATCATTCTCCTAAGATCCAAATTAGGTGCCATCTCCACGAAATTTTAAATAATTCCTCATACCTTTTGAAAGTAATTTCATTTTCAAATTTATTATATCACTTTCACTGGATCTCTTAGCATATTGTATTCTGTCTTCTTTTATTATTATTTGTGCATATATATATTTCCCTCATTTAGAATGCAATCTTCTTGGAGAAATGAACTGAGCCTTCTTTTGTCTTTATATTGCTTAGCATAAACATTTATTCACTTAATTGAATGTTCAAAATAAATAAAACCTATGAAGTTTGTTCATATTTTGTGTGGGTATTTTATATTAGCCTATCGCTAAAGATTACCCATGACAGCCAGTTGAGCAAAGAATATTTACCATAGATTTGTTATCCATATGGTGAGAGGTCTTTAATGCTATGGGAGTCTGGGGAGAAGAGTCTTTTTGTGACCCTGTCCAGTTCAAAATTTTCATTGTAAGGATTGGATGGCATAGACTAAGCCACAGAAAATATATATTAAATTTGTAGATGGCATAAAGCTATAGAGGATAGATAATATGTCAGTAAATGGAATTTAAATTTATCTCAACAGATTAGCAATTCACGAAGCAAAAAAATCTGTGAGTTTAATTGACAGTTTAAAATAAGTGTGATATAGTGGCTGAAAAAAAGTGTTCTTTCCATTCTTTTACACACACACACACATACGCACGCACACACACATTTGTATCTAGATTCTGGATATGGTTATTTCACACCTCCAAATAATGCTGATTAATGGTTCACTCTCAACTTGTTAGGAGGTGTCTGTTGTGAATGGCCTTTTTTTTTGTTGTTTTGTTTTTTTGTGGGGGAGAGTACGGGGGCATGGAAAGGGAATGATTTGTTTTCCATATAGCAGATTTAGACAGCCACCTGGTAAGCCCCTTCAACCTCATTCATGGGGGAGGCTGGGCCTTATGTGCAAGAGAAGGGCAGCTTCCATAGAAGAGAGCTATTAAGGAGAGACACAAAAGACTAGTTAATGAACTGAAAGAACTTGGAGATACTCCCAGATTAGATGAGATAGAGATCCCAGGGTACAAATGGACCTAGAGCAAAGCCTGCTCTGGAAGCCCCAGAATACACACAGCCCTAGAAAAAAGTAGTCAGCACTGACTGGTGATGAAGAGCAGGAGTGGAATCATAAAGTCCTATGGAAGAAATATTTATACAGCAAGGATCCATGGAAGTGATGACAGGAGTAGGGATGAGAACTTAGGAGCAATGGGTCCCAGAGCCATGTTATAAAGGGAGAAATTCAAACTTCGTATTCCATTTGTGACTTAAAATGATATAGGTTCACATATAAGTCAGAATATAGATCCCTGTGAGAAATGGAAGTGGTTAGTTTTTGTTTTGTTTTTAATGTCTAGAGTTCAGGTATGTGATGTTTCATTTTATTGTGTAGGCAAAATTTTTTCTGTGTTCAAAATATTTTTAAACTACAGGGAACAAAGGGTCATGTTGGGCAAACAAAATAATATAGATAACGTGGTTTCTAGGTTTCATGTTATGAAGGCATAAACCTGGTATATATTTAAGAGATATCTCTAAAATTAAACCCATCTCCTTGTGATATGAAGGTTACAAGACTTTGCCCTACACTCGTCAATAATTTTAGTCAGGAATTAAAATACCAAAAATGTGTTTATGAAATTAGGAGATTATATGAAACTGGATGAATAACTTTGGATTTAAAATGGCTGGACCTTCAAACAAATATAACTTATTGAAATGTAATAGATAAAAAATATAAAATACTGAATTTTTGTTAAAAAAAAACAAGCCAAATATATAAGTAAAGAATAAAGAAGACATTGGTAGATGCGGCAAGTTTAATGAAAAAGATTCCAGGATTTTCACTGGTTTCAAGTTCAATGTGAGTTAATACTATGATATGTCCCACCACCCACCCCCCATGATAATTCAACCTTAGGGTACATTAACAAAAATATAAAGCCCAGAACTAGGAAGCTGATAGTTCCAATTCATTCTGCTCTGTTTAGACCACGTCAGTTGTTTGCTACATTTTAAGAGATGCACTGAAAAATGGGAACCTGACCAAAGATGAATGCTCAGAATGGCAAATAGAATTTTAAAAAATATATCAAATTAGGATCTAATGGGGATATTTAGCCTAGAAAAGAAGAAATGAAGAGGGCAGAAGGATGTCTTCAAATATCTAAAGAATTGTATGAATGAGTTAAATAGAATTATTCTGTGTGGCTCCATAAGAAAACTAGGACCATTGAGCTTAAGTCACAGGAAAGCTGCTAATTGATCATTGTATTTAGAAAGGACTCTTGACACTAAATCTAGTTAACTGTGGAACTGACACAGCAGAGGTTGTCTGAACAAAGTCTCTGTTGAAAAGGAGGTAAGATTAATAGGATCTAAGGTCACTGCCAATTCTAAAAATATATTATTTACACAGGAAATCTGAAGAATTGATTCATTATTCAAATGATCCAGGCAATTCCTTTTATTCCTCCTTAGAAAAAAAGAAAAAGAGAAAAGAAAAAAAAAACCTTTATTATCAAAATGTCTCCGGAAAAATCAAGGATTATTCAGACTGATGGTCTACAGTTATTAAGTTTATAAAAAATATTAATACCTATGATTTGTTTGTTTTGAAGAGAGACTTTATATTTTTAAATTTTTTTAAATTTAAAACAAATTATCCAACTCATAAAATGTTTTTTAAAATTATTGAATATTTCAAATACTGACATCTTGTGGATATTTCAATAGCATGAGGCATATGACATAACATATATAGCCTGTGACAAATATTAGCCAAGTGACTCTAAATGAATCACTTGCATTTTCAGTGTCTTAAGAAATCTCTAAGACCTTAAGAAAACCTATGAACTGAAAAGAATGCGCTGATCTGTACTGATTGAGGAAGTTCCTGATGTCAGGGTTTTCAAAAAGGAAGATGCAAGTCTCTGCATGAGTGATTAAGTATGATGACCTGAAAGAAGGCTTAATTATTCTAATTTGCCAAAAAAAGAAAAGAAAATATAAATTGGACCAAAAATCACTGGATTACATAATTCTAACTAATTATCTTTTGAAACTTGAATATTTTATCTGAGACCTTCATAAATTTCGCATGGTATTTTGAATCTGGAAAAGACCTTTGAGAGCATCTGGTTTAATGTCCTTATTTTCCAGATGAGGAAAAAAAAGAGTAGGAACCTGAAATGTTAAATAGCCTGCTGCCGAAAGGTACAGAGCTAATTAGCAGCAGATTCAGGAATAGAAACCAGTCCTCCTGATTCCCAATCCAGTACTGTTTCCCCTACATCACACTGAAGGATATTTTGTTTCTTTTTTCTATGGATTCACCCTCCTGCCCATGTTAAAGAAGGATTGGAATTTAAGAATACCCCAAGGACCAAGCTGCATAAATTGATGCAGTGATTTGTTTTTATTCCTGAGAGAAAGTAAATAGAGATAATATAATGACTTTTTTTATTTCAAAGTAAAATTATAATATCTCCTTTAATTATTTGTATTGAAGGTAAATTTGCACACAAGGAAAAAGTACAGTGACATAATAAAATTATTATTAAAATTTCATGTCACCTGATATTCCTGGTCCTTCTAGTATTAAGGAGATATGCCCAGTAAGAACTGAATACTGAATTATAGAGATAGATATATAGATATGCATTTTTGTCGTTGTCGTTCAGTCATTCCAGTTGTGTCTGACTTTTTGTAATGCATATTTGGGGTTTTCTGGGCAAAGATTCTTGAGTGGTTTGCCATTTCTTTTTCCAGCTCATTTTACAGATGATAAAACTGAGGCAAACAGGGTGAAGTGACTTGCCCAGGGTCACAGAGCTAGTAGGTGTCTGAGTCCAGCTTTGAATTCAGCAACACGAGTCTTTCTGATTCTGTGTCTGACACACTATCCCTGTACCACCTAGCTGCCGATACACATGCACACATGTATGCATACACACGTGTATATACACATATATATTCATATACAACATAAATGTATGTATATGTACCTATTGTGTAGTCACATGCATACATATATATTTGTGTGTATGCATATACATATACATGGAGACAGATTGAGAAGAATTAATGACAGAGGTTAAGAGATAGACACGACACAGAAAGAGATAGAAACAGGGACATATAGAAGATGTATCATGGCTTTAGAAGTAATTTTCAGTTTCTCCACATGGAAACTGGAATGAAAATTCCAACCTTATAGCTGTGTCAGTATAATGATATGGGAGAGATCTTTTGAGTCCCTTAAAAAAATAAATTCATGATATAATATATAATAGTTGAAGAAAATCACATAAATGACCATGATAAATGGATGCAGTGCTAAAATGTTCCATGTTCTCTGACCCAGAAAATCTTTTTAGCAATGCATACACA